TGAGAAAGAACCTAAACAGAAAGTCCTAAAGCTGTCTTTATAAACAATGTAAGTTAAACCTTTTTCATAATATTTAAACTGTTATGTTTGTGAACGCATGTGTCTATCTATGTCTCTATGTGTATATACATGCTTACATGTAGGCGTGTATTACCCATACTTGTCAATGTTTCTATTGTTAGGCCTATAATTATTGCATGCTTGCATAATGAATGGGTATATTTTAGCGCATAGGGCATGGATTGGGTTTTCCATGGATGCAATGCGTTATAAAATGCTATCTTTATTCTTCTTCTTTCTCTCATTATTTTCTGTGCCAATTGCCAATGGGAGGTGAAGCTCTTTTACCGCACCTAGAACGAGAAAATAAGACTAGAACTAGAGTCTAGATCTAGAAATCTAATTATCATAAATCCACCAATTAAGATAATATTTGCAGTTGTATAACAAGCACAGTCTTAATTGATTTCCCTTTCGGTGATCTGATTGCGCTGCCGTCATATTGACTCGCGTAGGCTACTGTGACCTCGTTTTAAAATCGCCTCCACATTTTCAGACTACGGTCACGCTGAGGAGGCCTGATAATTTCAGTAAGCCGTGCTTGTAACACAAATACTTTTAGTAAAGCCAATAAAGGTGCGGTTTTTTAACGAATAGTCTAACTGTTTACACCATACATACATACTAAGTACACAAAGTTAAATGTGGTGTTTTTCGTCCTGACCTTTCTACCGCTCTTGTGAAAACACATTACGAGACGTTAGCAAAATGTTCTCAGCCCAGAATTTAGAATTTTACAGGAGAGAGAAACAAACTGTTTTATTCTTTTAACAATTAATTGTACCTAAATCATGTTATTTCTTGCCTTTTTTATTATAATTTTAGTACTTGAATTTCTACAAAATATTTCTTGAGCACATGCAACCGACACCATAGATAATCTTTTTAAAAGTCAAAATGTTTAGGCTAGTTTATTTTAACAGCTGGCGGACGATAAGTGCTCTTTGGTCTCCAAGTGACCAAAAAAGGGTTCGTCAATATACCCGAAGTTTAGATTACGTATAAACACGAAGGGAAGTTTGCCATAAAAGGATTTTACTTTCATGTTCACCCCACTCACGGGATGCATGGGTCTCTTTTAAATGACGTGTGACATCTAGTTGGGTTAATAAGAGGACCGAAGGATTCAGGCCGATAGAATGTATTTATTCACAGTGTGGATCATGTTATTTATATCTTAATAATGTTCAATTTTCATACGCACAGCACGATAATTTTAATTACACAAAGAACGTTTTTGAAAGATTCCTTAAATTACTCGATTACTTGATCTCAAAACTGGAGTCCAGCTCTGGATTCTAAGCTCAAACTCCTCGCCACTCCTCAGCAGGGAACCGGAACAATAACAATAGAATCCTTATCTACAGTTGCGTCCAAGAGAAATTTGAAAATGTAATCAACCAATCATCGTGTTAAAACCGTGTGTTTCCCATTTAGGCATCATACCTATTTAAAGCTAAATAAATTCTGCATCATCTAACACATTAATAATCCATCTATGTTAAGACACGAGCGAGATATGGTCACTCAAAGTTGACCTTAAGAAATCAGGCTTGGCAAAATTGTGCGAAACCAAACAAACGTAAAACAAGCATTAAATATTTATTTAATAGACATACATTGCGTATCCAATGGATGGAGAACTTGGTCTCTGCAATAAACAATATTTATTTGTTACAATATTGTATTTCAATAGTTTCAAACAAAACAGAGCAATCGCAAACACCACACAAAACTTGGACTGTTGCATTAAATGTGCTCATTGTTATTTTGCTTAGGAGTTATTGGTTTTGTATAGTGCACTAACCCTTTGGGCATCGATTCTATTATTTTTGCACATAATTATCAGTCATTTCATCCCAAATGTCACAGAGAGTTATAAACAAAGGTTTTGAAATGGGAACAAAGTCGCTTTCCTTCAGCTGCTGTTTCATGGGACATCACATACGTGTATGATTCATATCGGGGCTATTTGCTGGTGACCAGTCCAACTTTGGTATGATTCAGCTTTCCAAGAGTTGTCTAGCGGCATTAGCCCGGCGAGAAAGTGCTTTGCTATGCATGGAGATGCCTACTCGAATGGCACCATGACGAAAATAAGGGCAAGGCACGATGTTCCAGCACTTGCGAGATGTAGCCTACTAAACCAAGCCTTCCGATGATTCTCGCGAGGGCGGTTATGTTTATTCCATCCGAGGCCACCAAAATCATGGCAGTTTCGTGGTCTCTGTTCCAAACTGACAAGTGATTATGTCCAAAGTCTAAATAACATAGTCCATGTACAAAAAAAGGTTTCGTGCTCTACGCGAAACCAATAACTCCTTAGCAAAACCAACATTACTAATGAGCACGTCGTGTGATGTTGAGTCCCAGTTTTGCGAGGTATTTTTAACTGCTCTGTTTTCCAATCTGTCTGAAAATATCATCAGAAGATGCTGTTCATTTCAGAGACAAATTCTCTTTTCATTTTATATTCAGTGCATGCCCATTCCACAAATGTAGATGCACGTCAATTTACGTGCGTACACACTTTGACATTTCTTTGATTTCACACAATTTTGCCAAGACTGATATTTTAAGATCAGTTTTGAGTCACCATATCTCAGGCGTCTTTTAACATACATAAGATTTTAATGTGTCAGACGATGCCAAATTTATTTCGCTTTAAATTGGTATGCTGCATGAGTGGATAGCTCAAAACTATAACACGATGACATGCTGATTACATTTTCAAGTTTCTTTTGGACGCCATTATATAACAATACGACATAAACTCATTTCTGTATTTATTTCGTTTTCTTCAAATGTTGGAATTTCTCCAAGTTTTACAATATGGAAATTGTTCTCGTAAGATGGTAGCAATAGTGTTACTGATATGTTATCAGTGTATAAGGAGAACACCAAGGTAAGGGGATCAAAAACTTGGTGGTAGTTTCTTTTCTAATCTAGCTTCCCTGGAACTCTATCCCTCAATGTTTGAGGGATATAAAGTAAGATACAATATTTGAAATTCACTATAAAACATGTCTCATGGCATGTTATCTTGATAGTAGGTCCTTCTTATTCAAATCACGCTAATGTTCATAATGTTATGGGTATATCGTCACCGATTGTGTTGTGATTGTATGAAGGTCAGATTTTTTTTTCCTTGGTTTTTTGTTGTTTTTTTGCATTAGCATTTATCTGAAGAGCGTATTTGCGTTCAGGCTTTTTCACTTGGCTTTTTCACTTATATTTTGCATTTAAAAGTTGAGACATCGTAAAGAGCCCAGGGCTGTAGTTTACCTGAGTGAGCATTATAACTGGTAGTAGTAGTAGTAGTAGTAGTAGTAGTAGTAGTAGTAGTAGTAGTAGTAGTAGTAGTAGTAGTAGTAGTAGTAGTAGTAGTAGTAGTAGTAGTAGTAGTAGTAGTCTTATTATTATTATTATTATTATTATTATTATTATTATTATTATTATTATTATTATTACAATTATTATTTTAGAAAGGCATTTCAGGCATTCTGACAAGTTGCATCCCGAACAAAATTTCAGCAAAGGACACAGAAATTAATAGAAGAGGTAACACTTTGTGACTGAAGACTGGCTATCAGGCCTCTGTGCCTTTGCGTAAAACTGAACTCTGGGCCTTTTACGAAATCGAAAGACGACTTCAAAATGTGGACTCAGTTCAAGCACAAACGTTTAGGAAACCATCTGGGGCACAAATAGTTACCGTTTAATCTACTTCCAGCGTATAAGCCTGAGTTGTGTCAAACGGAAATGCTTTTAAGATTTCTCATTGTGTCAATTTATGTATTATGTTTGGAGATCTATTTTTGGTCCAGGTTAAAACTTTACGCTTAAAGAGCCAATCTGTGTTGTTAAGGTCGTTAAAGGTGAAGGTTATAAACTGACCTGAGTATAATTTACCAACTGAGTATTAAAGTACATGAGTGTTAAGTCGTTTATAAGCAGTAAAAGGATGTCTATAATGTTAGATTAGGTCTAAAACCTGCAACATTCTTGAAAAGGGCTGTAAAAACACCTATATGAAAATAGAAGTACTAAGACATGTCAAACTTGCTGTTAAAGACTTAGTCCTGATTTTGAGATGCAACATTTTACCTGTAGAAGAGTCTTTGTATTGCGAGGTTTTGGTGGGGGGGGGGGGGGGGGGTTTGTCCCACTGACTCGTAAAACATCAACGTTTTGTTGTTGTTGTTGTTGTTGTTGTTGTTGTTGTTGTTGTTGTTGTTGTTGTTGTTGTTGTTGTTGTTGTTGTTGTTGTCGTCGTCGATCTAGCAACAACTGGGCTCTCACCCTTCTGTCCAATGCCATGTAGTGATAAGTGCAGGTTTGCTGCCGTTATGAATGTTAGGTCTCGAAGGGAGAAGTGTACCGCTGATGTCATATAAGGCTCTAGAATGGAAAAGGGAATGATCCACTCTCATATGCACATTCACACATAGGACCCATTGGGGGGAGTTCTATTTTTTTCTGTTGAAGTGGAAGTTGAACTGTATAAGTTCTGTTCGTAGGCGGGAGATAGTGGTTTGTTTCTTTCTCTGTAGGTCGCTATTGTTTTCATTGCGTTTTGTTGTCGTCATATTTTTGAAAACTGCTCTGTCTGCCTTTCCCAAGGCTCATCTGTTCATCCAATCTTATTTGCCGCTGCTTTTAATGATTTATTTGTTTTGCAGTGTTTTGTGAGGTTGGAGTGTTGGAGTGTTCCTGTCTAGATCCCCTTTTGGTGAGTGTGTCTGCTCTGTCGTTTCCAGGTATGTCTGAGTGTCCGGGAATCCACTGCATCACCAGGTTGACCCCACAGATGTTACCAGGGGATGGAGGCCAAACAGTATATGTGTCAGGTCTTGGTTTAGATGATGGTCATTGTCTATATCTTGCAAGACTGATAGTGATTCTGTGAAAATCACAATACTTTGTGTTTTATTTGAATGAGTGCATCGACGTTTTAAGGTATTCCGTCATGAGATTTCTGGGTGTCGAGAAAATAATTCTTCTCTCGGGGTTTTGGATTTTTGCCTACTCTCTGAAGCCAGGAAACGGAAGTAATTCCAACGACCAAGAGACAGAGACCTTCAGCGACGCGTCCCGTCTGTTAGATGACGTGATTAAGCCATACGACTCTCGTATCAGGCCTATTCTCAATCAGTCCCAACCCTTGTCGGTCACTGTGCTAGCCGAATTATTAAATTTGCATTCCTTGGACGAAGTCACACAAACGTGGACCTTCTCCAGCATTTTCAGATTCAAGTGGAGGGACCAGATAAAAACGTGGCAACCCAAAAAATATGGCAACATTACGGAAATTTTACTTGACCCTCAAGACCTTTGGAGCCCTAGACTTTCAATTCCTAACTCTTTAACCGGGACATACATGTTTGCGGGCGATTCCTCTTTCGTGAAGCTGAAACATGACGGGTCAACCATCTGGGAGCCGGGGTGTGTGCTCACAGTACCCTGCGATCTAGATCTCACATATTTCCCCTTTGACACTCAGACGTGTATTTTGAAGGGCATATCCTACGATCAGGCGGGTGTTATCCTGCATGTTCCAGAAGATCATATTATTGGCCGCGCACTGTACAGCACAAACGGTGAATGGGACCTAATTGATATCACTTTGACCTCTCGCGTCTTGTCAAGATCGGGAAAAAACAGACTGGATCTTAGGGTTGTGTTTAAAAGAAGGCCCATGTTCTTCGTGGTAAACGTTCTGTTGCCCGACATTTTGCTGTCCCTCCTCTCCCTCCTCGTCTTCATATTACCCGAGGAAAGCGGAGAAAGAGCCAGCTACTCCATCACTGTCGTGTTGTCTCTGGCCGTCTTCATGAGCATACTATCGAAAGAGTTACCTCAAAATTCAGACTCCATGCCGATTATGTGTGAGTATATGCTAGTAATGTTGTCACTAAGCGGTCTCTCTGTGGTTGTAACTGTTATTCAGTTGTACTGGAGCTACGCGGAAAGACGCAAATGGACCACAACGAATCCCCAGCAACAGTCCTGCTCTGCAAAGAGGGACAGTCCGAAGAACGGTAAAAACATGAGCAGTGAAGGGAACGGAAACATCTTTCCCTACAGCTGTGGAAAAACTGTAACTCGCAACATTGCAACTAGTGATACTGATATGCTTTTTAAGAGGAATCAATCAGAAAGCCAGTCTCCTTCAGTCCAAGGTTCACCTTCTTCATCGTCTACAACAAGTGTTGTCAAGGATTTGGATGCTACCCTCGACACTAATAATAGACTCTCCAAACACGCAATGACGTCATGGGATAAAGATCATTTCTCCCATACCCCTTTCTCTCACTCCATGGGAACCACTGAGAAACTAACAAATGATGTATCCACACCAGCACAGATCTGCTGCTGTAGAATGATGATGGGACATAAGGCTGATGAGCTTAGAGAGGGGCATAATGCTGATGAGCTTAGTACAAAATCGTTGAAAAGAGCGAGGAAAGTAAACATTATTCTCTTTTTTACTTTTCTAAGCGCCTTTCTGCTGACAACATGTTTCTTTATGGTGGGTCTACTCAGAAACTATAATTCGGAAAAAGATGCTACATATACAATTCCATAGTCAAGTTAAACGGTGACAACAGAGCGGCCGTAATGACAGTTGATTTTTTTTTTTTTAATTCAAATTATGTTTCATTATGTATTTCCTCGAGAGGTCTCTAGGCGTGTCAATAGCATCACCGGGTAGTTTTCTGGTAATTTACATTGATTGCAATGAATAGTAACTTTCGCACGATTTTGACGTGGTGTGGCGAGGTTACACGCCTCGCTGTCGCACGCAGGAGGAGATTATTATCAAGTACCCCGTTCTTTCAGCTAGAATGTTATTTCCCTATCTGCTCGGGTGGTCCTGACTGGCGGAGTCGGAAGCCTGCCTTCTAAATGATTTAAATTGTTTTGATTGAGGTGTAAAATCACCTACATTATAAAATAATTACAGTTATGAGATATTATTTCAGGTCAGCTGTTAAGGACGTAGGCTTCGTTACACTGACTCGGTTATTGAAAGTAATTGTGATCCATTATTTAAAATTAATGAAGAATTAACTTATTAAGAAGGAAGGCCATCCTTCTACCTACTCGACTGTTTCTCCTGAAATCTTAAAAGTATATTTCCCCGTAACGTAAATCACATTTTCATCTAAATTGTCATATGTGACCTCTGTCTAATCAAACACACTAAAAGGGGCCCTTAGCGAACTTTCAAAGGAACACAACTACTAGAAGCGTGTGTGCATGAGAAAAGTGGGGGGGGGGGGGCCTCGAAGGTTATTGGTTTTTAAAAAGCATACAAAACGTCTACATATCAGGTTGCAAAAAGTCGCCAAACTACTCAGCTATCTAAAACTGCTCTTGTTCAAGACTTCTACGAGGTTGTGCTGGTTTCTGCCTCTCTTTTGGGGCGACACAGTCCAGTAAATGGTTCAGGAGAGTACTCTAAGATATCAAATAAAAGAGGGGGCGGGGGGTAGGAATAAAAAGGGCAAGCGGGAAAATATTTTTTTTAACGTAGGACGTGGAATAAGTGGGAGGGAAGGGGGAGGGGTTGCGCAAGAAACCCCTGAAAATTAATAAGCAGGAAGGGGGTTGGGACGCATATTCGATACCTTAGAGTAGCCTACCTACAGCCCGCGGGCTAGATCCCGCACGTGTTGTCAGTTGGTACAGCCCGCGGGCTAGATCCCGCACGTGTTGTCAGTTGGTACAGCCCGCGGGCCAGATCCTGCACGTGTTGTCAGTTCGTCTGGCCGGCTACCACACCACCATCTGGGAACAAACAAACAAAAAAAACTTTGGAGACGTGTATATAGCATGTTAAAGACTTTGTCACCAAAATGATGCTATTACTTCACAGAATTGGACAGTAAACAATAAACACGCTTTAAACAGGTTTCATAATTTCTATCTAACAGATCTACATGGTTTGTGACATACATGCCCACTGGGTGTGATATAAATATCTTACTACATCATAATTAATGTGATGATTTTGTTGACTAATATTGTTAGCTGTTTACAAATTTTTCTAAATTATTTGCATTTGGTGTAATGATAAATCAATACGTTAGTTAGTTGTCATCATTTTTATTACATTTTGTATCTTGTGTGTATACAAATCAATACGTTTGTTGTCTTCATTTTTTAAATGATTTCAGTTTATTGTATTGAATAAAACAGCCATCCAGCAGCGCTCGATATTCTCTCGGCTACCTGGCTCACTTAAGTGAAATGTTACCAAGCACTTTTATTATTATTTAGTAGTAGTAGTAGTAGTAGTAGTAGTAGTAGTAGTAGTAGTAGTAGTAGTAGTAGTAGTAGTAGTAGTAGTAGTAGTAGTAGTAGTAGTAGTAGTAGTAGTAGTAGTAGTAGTAGTAGTAGTTCCATTCTTTTTGGTATTATCATTGGTATTAATATTGTTATCATTACCATCATCATCATCATCATCATCATCATCATCATCATCATCATCATCATCATCATCATCATCGTCATCATCATCATCATCAATATTATTATTATTATTATTATTATTATTATTATTATTATTATTATTATTATTATTATTATTATTATTATTATCATCGTCATTATTATTATTAAATACAATAAACATCTACAACTTCATGAAATAATTCAAAAGCATATACCAGGAAAGATGAAGGTCTGTTGTTACAAAGAGTGGAGCACCAACGGACAAAAGCGGCTATGGTGACATGTGACATTGTGTCTTACCTTATCAGATTCTGAACTGCTGATAGACTGTTGTTGACAAATTATTAACCCCACAACATATTATTATGTTTTATATGTCGACAGATCCTAATAATAAGTCGTTAATAACAGTAGGAATCAGTGCCGCTATACCTAAAGCTCGCAATTTCCCATTAAGTGAAAGTCGTAGCGCTTGGAGCTAGATATATATGTACTTGAAAGTGCGTTGTCACGGGCAACGCAGATAAACGGAATTTGTTTTCTCAAAAGGTTGATGTCACAATGTCAGAACAAACAGAATAATAACCCCCAAAAAAAGACAGATTCTATTTCGATAACCCGAGCTGGACAAACAAAACTACAGCCTAGTTTTTGACAACACAAATGGAAGCTGAGTTGATTGAAAGGGAGGGAATTAATCAATTATTGTCATAATATTTTCTTTAAAACCCAGTAACAAGCTGTCCAGGGTAAATATTTATCATCTATATTTCTCACCCTGCACTTTCAACACTTTCCTTTGCTATCCCCTTGAGAGCATTCAATAATATTATTTATAATTGTTTGTAAATCTTCTTCTTCTCCGATCGTGCCTGCAAAGCTGTCTCGAAACCTTACAAGGGGTGCCCATTGGCGCGATCAGGTCGGGTCCGGTTGGGTCGGGTCGTTTTCTGGTGGTTTCAACGCACACTACAAAAATAACACCGCCGCGGCGCTTTTCCCTTTCGTCAACCCGCAGCCACCTCCCGAATCGTCAGCCACCTCCCAACCTTTGACACGGGTCAAACTTCCATCTATTTATAGGTAGTTAGGTCTACCGGAACATGTATTAGGCGAAGTGATGTGCACTGATAGTCGCAATAGAGAGATTTTGATCTCTCTTTACTCATCTGCACAACACGAATTTAATTGATGTTTTTCCCTGGACTCTGCCTTTACTAAAGTCTCGAATCTAGATCTAGTTGTAATCTAGTTGCAGGTTGCAGATTTAATAAATTGTCGACAGGGAGAGAGAGAGGGGGGGAAGGGGGGGAGTAGATCTTGCGAGAACTTCCGGGCAAAACAAAATGGCGACCCGCGTAGTTCGGCTCAATTCGAAAAGTGAAAGAGCCATAGTATCTTTGTAGACGATCAATTAGCTTACTTTTGTGCTATAACGTCATTTTTCCCTTTACTTTTGTCAATTTGATCATCCACACTGATAGAAAGTATTTCGAAATTAGGAAAAATAATAATAGTAATAGATAATAATAATAGACAGCATTTGTATAGCGCATATCCCCGCTCAACAGCAGGCTCTATGCGCTTTACACTATATTATTACCCCAGCAGACCATAGAACACTCCGAAACATTCTCAGCTTCCCGGGAAGCATACAGTGCAAGCAGCTGATTAAGCGCTCAAACACTAACAAACTGACAAGATCTTTCGCTGTCTATAGCCGGGTACCCATTCCCACCTGGGTGAAGTGAGGAAAATTTGTGTAAAGTGCCTTTCCCAAGGACACAACGTCGGGTCCCTGACGGGATTCGAACCCACGACCTTACGGTTGCGAGTCCGAGAGCCTAACCACTAGGCCACCGACGCCACAGGTCTTGTTTCACACTGGGTGAGAAGAGCCAACGCTGGCAAGTCTCACCCGGGGTGAGAGGTCAATCGTAGGGTTTTTATTCTCACTCCGGGTGAGGATAGCCACTTCCTTGCTTAAATGATTAAGTGATTAAACTTGATCTCTTATTGACAATATAAAAGTCAATTTAAGCTTCATTTCGTTAGAAAAAAATGTGTTAGGTTAGCTAACTTCTTTGACTCTGTGTTAAACAACACTTTTAACAAAACGAATCCTTACAAGCCTCGGCTTGGCCTTTGTAATCTCGAAGGTTTAGAAGTAGAAGTAGAAGAGTCTACAACTAGAGTCTAGAGTCTAGTCCAATTTATTTAATCTCTTGAATGTACTGGATAACAGAAATCTGCAACCTGCCACTAGATTACAACTCTAGATCTAGATCTAGATCTAGATTCGAGATTTTAGTAAAGGCAGAGTCCAGGGAAAAACTTCTCGTGGTGATGAGTAAAAAGAGACCAAAACAATCTCAATAAATAATATCGCGACTATCACAGCACATCACTTGACCTATACCTGTTCAGGTAACTACCTATAAATAGATGGAAGTTTGACCCGTGTCAAAGGTTGGGATGTGGCTGATGATTCGGGAGGTGGCTGCGGGTTGACGAAAGGGAAAAGCGCATCGCCGCGATAGTACCCGACCACCTGGAAGTTGAAGTAGAGAAACCTTTAACCCCTAGTGAACCAGTATTTCGCACGGAAATGCCAGACCTTGACATCGCAGTGTCAACATGGACGTGTGACTCGTAGGTTACAAATCCCAGTTGTGATTGGCTGCAAAACACCCGATCGCACGACTCGCAGCTTTGAAAACAAACATGTTTTAAATTAAAGACACTGACTGCGTCGTTCGGTTCGTGCCACGAAGGCCGCTTTTCGCCCTCTAGTTGGCTAGCCCCGACTACCAATTCGACTAGACCCGATGGCGCTAATGGGCACCCCTTATTAGTATACGGTATGCCGCTTGCCAGTTCATCTGGAGCTGGACTTCGCTTAGCTGTTTACAGTTATCTTGAAATTCTACGAGGCCCAGCAAATCCATCGTATGATATAGTCAAACAGCATGTTTATTGCACAGAACATCTAGTTCTACTTCGTTTGGTGTTAATATGACACTAGTACGTTAACACGGTTAGGAAGTCTATGAAGCTGAAAAAAAAAGATAGCAAAAAAACAGCCATCCGTATATTATATTAAGAGTTAAGGAATACTGAAAGCAAAAA